GATTGTTTCATTCTTTTTTTCTATATACCTAGTGTCCACTCATTTATACCCTGTACATAACATTTTGTTGTAATGTCTTTACTCCTTATTTGGTTTCTTAAGATATTTCCTATAATTCTTCCGAGTATTCCAATTTCTGCCGTTTTCAGCATTTTCTGTGTTTTGGCTGCGCAGGGTAGTGTTTCTTAAGAGTACGTCATTATTGGTTTTATATTTCTTTGATTTTATCTCAGTGAATGTGCCCCTTACGCCATGTATGTGTAAGGTAGCTAATCTATTTGCCCTTTTATCTTGATCTGTTACTTCTTTTTCATTGCCTCCATAGCTTAATAGTGAATTCTCTAGGTACTTTATTTCCATTACTTGTTCAATGCTCCATTTGGCTAGAAGTTTACATTTTATTGGTTCTCTACTAAGTACTATTGCTCTAGTTTTCTGAGTTGAAATTATCATGTTAAATTTTTTTGATCCTGCATTAAATTTGTGAACTAGAATTTAAAGGCTATCTTCATTTTAGGCCACTATTGCATCGTCTCTATAATAAAGGACCACAAATATATTTAAAATAGTTTATATGGTATTGTTCTGAAGCTATTTTCTTGTGGCATTGTAAATTAATTACTATTTATAACTGGGAATAAGCCACAATTAAAGATAAAAAATACGTTTATTGACGTTTCAATTTCCAATTCGGAAATCGTTCTCAAAATACAAACAGTAAATTAAACAAATTTTGTTTTTTGTTACATAGTGAAAAATTCTTCTAATAATTGAATTTTATCTGACTCATTTATATTGACAATTTAGACATACATTATGCATTTTAAAGTAGACGACTTTAAAATGATATTGCCAATATTGTTGAGTTGCGCTCCTGGGACGACTTTACTTATAAGATAGTTCATTCGATTACATGAAATCAACTTTAACTTGAGAATATCCGTCAGAAAAAATCATAGCATGTAATTCGTCTTTAAAAAGACAAACACATGACATGATGACAGTAAAATTCTCCTGTTAGTGATTCCATAGTAAATTATGAGGGAAAAACCAGGAAAAAAAACCTCATAATACTATCCCGACATTGTAAGTATTTGTTCGTGAATTTAGTTTACCTTCAACAAACATCAAAATTCTGATTTTATATGTTACGTTATTTAAAAAACATAAATGATGTATCCTCTATATGTTACTGACTTACTAATACTGGTATTTTCTTATTAATAACTTCCTCTTTCAATATTGGTAACCAGATCCTACTACATTCTGCCGAGGAATTTGCGACACAATTGGCCTCATTTAGCTTAATTAGAGCCGCTTCTTTGATTTTTCTTCTTTTACCATCCGTTTCTTTTAGGACTATATTTGAATTATTCCATTGAACCCTATGTTCATTATCCCATGCGTGTTTACATATTTGAGATATGTAAACATAAATATGCAATATCATTTTAAAGTCGTCTACTTTAAAATGCATAATGTATGTCTGAATTGTCAATATAAATGAGTCGGAAAAAATTAAATTATTAGAAGAATTTTTTCACTATGTAACAAAAAACAAAATTTGTTTAATTTACTGTTTGTATTTTGAGAACGATTTCCGAATTGGAAATTGAAACGTCAATAAACGTATTTTTTATCTTTAATTGTGGCTTATTCCCAGTTATAAATAGTAATTAATTTTATATGGTGTTTTTAATTTCAGCTGGTAAATATTTTTCCTAATACAAGTTTTTAAAAATCATAGGAGGAACGAAAAATAACGATTTCTCAGGAAACTGTACTCCGTAGAATAAATGTTTTAAACAAAAATATAGCTATATAAAGTATATAAAGATATTTGGCATATTATGTGAAATCAATTTTTTAAATAAAATTTGTATCAATTCAATAGTAAAAATTCAATATATTTTGATCAAAGTATCCTATCGATAAAAACCAAAATGCGTTTTAAAGTTAGTAAGTGCAGCTTTTATAAGCGATTTTTGCATTTTGCTACGAATAAAGTAAGTTTCTATAAAGCTTTTAAATAAATGAACGTGCGATATGAAATGCGAATAAAATTAGTGCGAAAAAGCGCGATTTTTGCCAATTTCTACAATGCTTAAGAAATCAATAAAATGTATAGATATAGAATTTCCACTATTAGAACCTAGTGTTTAATGAAATTTTAATTTTGTGTTTTTGCAGCAAATATGGAGTATTTGGAATTTAAAAAAGCTGAATTTAAACTTTCAAATTACAAACGATAAAGTCATTTAAAACTCCATATTTTTGATTACAGAAGAACTTTTTCAAAAGTATACATCTTAGCCTACAAATTCCATCCAATGGCGCCTTCTTAGAAGCATTTTTCGTGACATTTATAATGTAAAAGTTTAAATTCTGCGTTTTTTAGTAATATTTCAAATGTCTCGTCTTTATTGCCAAAACAAAAAATCAAAATTTAATATTTTGGAGGAAAAGACTAAAAATGGAAAAAATGGAAATCCTACAGCAAGCGATCAATGGAAGTTATTAATTTTATTAATCTCATGAAAGTTGTAAAAAATCGGAAGAACGCGAAACACTTATTTAAGTAACAGCTTTATAGCAACTAATCCCACTAGCAACAAAATGCAAAAATTGCATAAGAAATATGCCCTACTCACTTTACATTCAAAATAGAAAACTCATTTTAATTTTTGTCAATAGGATACTCTGATCAAAAGATATAGAATTTTTACCGTTGAGTTAATACAAACGCCGAGACAGAAGACGAGCTCCAAAGAACTCACATCCTTAATACAACAGCCAAGAAATAGAATATAATAATATCAGCGGAAAAATCAAATATATGACAACATCTAAATACCCACTATGATGTGAAATCGAAATTGGTGTGAAAATAATAAAGCACGAAGCAAGGTTTAGTTAGAAGTCTGGGAATAGATATAACTAGTTACAGAGATGTTGAAGAAGAAGTACGACAAGAAAGCTTAAAAGTAAGTAAAGCGACGGGATTTCTTAATGACATAATCTGGAAGAGCAAACACCTAAGAGAAGACACAAAAACAAGAACCTATAAAGACGCAATTAAACCTATATTAACATAAACGGCAGAGACAGGACCTGGCACATCTACAACGAGATGACTACTAGAAACCACAGAGATGAAAACACTTTGACAAATATCAGGGAAAAGTATATTGGATAGGGAGATAAGTGAAAATATAAGAAGATCATGCAATATCGAAGACATAAATGGATGGCTGACAAATCAGAAAAGAAGTTGAACGAACACGTTAGTAGAATGGCACAGGATAGGATAGTACGAATAGCACGAGATAGGTATAGAGGAAAAAAGTATTGGCACACTAAGAAAAAGATGGTGCGATAATTTAAACAATTTGGGAAACTAATATTAAAGAAGAAACAGGAACACAAACAGACAAGAAGAAGAAGAACAAGAGTTAATACAAATTTTATTTAAAAAATTGATTTTGCGCGTATAACTGGCATTTAAAATTGACGGTTGCCTCAAGCGTTTTTTGTTCAAAATAATATTTAAAACGTTTTTATTTACGGCGTACAGATTTTTGGTAAATCGATTTTTTTCGTTACCCTTTTCGCCCTTCGAGGAGGTTTTAGAAGGAAGCCCGGGTATAGGGTGTAGACGTGGTTAACATTTTTGGATCTTTTTTGAAGTTCCAAAATTTTCAATATTGTTGAGGTGTATTACTGTAATGACTTTATTAGAGACTAGTTCATTTTAACTTAAGAACCACTGGTCCGTAAATGAAGTATAACTTTAGTAAACGCTTAACTTATAAAGATATTGGAAATACATTATCTATATAATAAAGAGGTGAACATCTTTATTGGTACTAAAATAATTTTTTCTGTACGAATTATTTTGAAAACAAAGTCGTGGATTGACATCAAATCGATCTGTTGTTGAAAGGTAAGGTTTTCGCGAGCTTTTAAGAAAAAAATAAAATAAATCGGAACGCAACAAAAATTTTTACAAGAAGTGAGCATTTTTTTATGACCTTAAGTAAACCAAGATATGTCTTTTGATATGTTTTTTCATCAAGTGCTTAATCGGAATGCGTTGTCAGGTTTTCTCTATCTATTAGTTTTTTCAGTCTGGACAGATAAACATAATCTATATGATCGAAATGTTATTTTCATATGATTTTTCGATCCAATAAAAGATCCAAATATAATTTAATGTAGATCCTGAAAGAAAAATAAAACATTACACTAGGCGTAGTGTCAGGATAATAATTTGTGTTTTCTGGGTCTGTTTTCCTTATAATTTACAATGGAATTATTGTGGAATGTCAAAATTTTACTGTTATGATGGATTATCTGATATTATTAACAAGCAATGGCATCTTATTATTATTTGTTTGACAGATATTCGTAAGATAAGCTTAATTTCATTCAATTGAATAAACTATTCTCCAATCAAGACGTCCCAGCAACCAAACTCATAACTATTGATAACACAAATGTTCTACTAGCTACTGTTAAGAAAATTAAACTATTAGAAGTTTATTTCCAAGTAACAACTCAACAGAATAATTTAATTTTAAAAAAATTGCATTTTGCGGGGTAATTTAGGAGCTGGTAATCGACCCGTTAAAAAATATGTCTAAATACGTGTGTGGTTAATTCACACAAAATATAATAATTTGGAGAAATTTTACCTCAGTATTGCCTTCTGATTTTCGCATTGTTTTTAAGTAGATATGATTTATTATTTATTTTCTTGACTTGCTAATTGTTTGGATACATATTAACTAGGTACTAGACAAAGGTGATAATTTTATTTCTTTTTCATTATTCTACTTTTGAAATGTATAGTATCCTTTGTTATATGCAGCAAACTACTACTTCAGTCCACTTCTTTAGTTAAATAAAACTACAAAACTTATAGTAATAAATTTTTATTTTATAATTAAAAATGAATAAAAAAGGTATATCAGTGAATTTTATTTTATTTTTTTTTGCAGCATTTAATGAGTGGCTACAGACCCTCTCCCGGTATTATGGGACCTGCAAACATGGCTCACCAGCGTCGTCTCAATATGCCAAGCATCCATAGACCTCCCAATACGTTGAATCCCATAAGCCAACTTCATGTTAAGAGAACCTAAGACAGAAATCGTGTTAAAGAATTGTTTAGTATATTTATAGTTTCGTATAGACTAAGTCGCAAAAAATACAGTTTACATTTTGAAAATTTGTCAACACAAAGCTGAATGTTTTACGACTTGTACCTAGTTTAAGTAGCAAATAAATATTTTGAGGTAAAGGGTTTAGATATTCTGTTTTTTGAAGGTAATTTAGATTTAATTTGTTTTTTAGGACTTTTGTGTTGTACTAGAGTTAAATTAAAAATATGTTGAAAATTAATATTTATTATTTACATACATATAGTATAAGTTTAAATCAGAAATGTGCTAAAAATCAATATTTAGTATTTACGGTAGGTATGATAAATGTATCTTAGATATTTCAGAGTGGCACTACGTGGTTCGAGCCATCCATTCATCATCATAATTTAAATTGGGTGTTCTTCATACTAAGTTTTGCCACTCTGGTATGAACGTCCAATTTAAACTATCTTCAGATTTACGTCGGAGACTACGGGAAGTCGTTCCAGGAAGCCTTGTATTGTGAAAATGTGCCTCTGATTTTTTTGTTTCTTTTTTTGAGTGTAAAACGGATTCAAAATTAAATTTCTTTTTTACAATCCGTATATATTTACGATAATTTACTATTTTTCTTGGGAATTAATCACAATTCGGCTTATATTTCGTACGACTTCGGAAATCATTCACAAAAAAAATTGTTTGAAAACGATTCCCTCAGTAATCAAAACGTCAAAATAAACGTATTTTAAACTCAATTTGAGATTAATTTCTAATAAAAATAGTAACTAATAATAAAATATTGCCACAAGGCTTCAAATCAATATTTATGAAAATCTTACTTCAAAAGGCTTGTTAAAAACAGGAATGGCGAAGGTTTGTTACAAACAAAAAATGCGAAATCTTACTTTTTGAATGTAAGTGTTATCACTAAGGTGCAAAAAATTATGCATCTATAGTACTACTATCTTTCTAAGAGACTCATTTGTTTTACAGCTCAGCGGGGAACTATTGTTCGAGGTGTAAAATTCAATAAACAAGGACCTAACTGTTTTATGAAATGGTCCCTTGTGTATATAATTTCACACACAAAAAATAGCTCCCCGCTGAGTTAAATATTAATGATAAAGTCTCTTAGAAAGATGGTAGTACTATAAAGCATAAACATCTGACATTAATTATCACTTTGTTGATCCATTTGCACACTGTTGATCTAATTTCATCTAATGAAATACTTTTACATGGTATACTAGGACATAGACTACGTGCAAATGGTCGTCTTTACTATATACGGTATTTATTATTATTCGTAAAAATTTTGTTTTTTTTTTGTATAAGTATTAATATTTCTGATTTTCAAGTATTTGCGTTATTTATATACTGGGGTTGAGAATACTGGAGTAAAGATAACTAGACGTTATATTTACAGGGTTTTTCTATACTTGACTGACCTCTAACCCCAAGAAATCTCGAAGCAATTGATGAATTCCTATATAGGATCATGAATCCTTAAATAACTTAATTAATGAGAATCAAAATAAGGTAAAAGTTTAAAATTAAACTTATAGTTAAAAACGCTTATGCCGTTTTTTTTTCAAATTTGGTGAATATGCTCTTTTAGAAAATAATACATTGACATTAGCTAACTTTTGGAAAATTTTGCTACTAGACAATTAATTTTCAATTTAGTTTAGGAAAAATACAATAGCACTGAAATAAACGGTGTTATTAGATATTTGTTGTTAAACAAAAATTTGTAATTATTGTAATAATTCACAAAATATTATTTGCGGTGTTATTTCTCTTGGAATTTTCCTATATAAGCAAGTATTGGCCCTACGCTGTACCATTAAGCATAAATAGTACACATAGTTTTTCAATATAACACACATTGTAAATTGTTGTAAATATTCAAATTATGTAACTAAATACTCGCTGCTTATTTCCAAGCAAGTTCTAAATCATCCAAACATATAAAAAGTACGTTTTTGAGAATAAATATCAATAAATCTGAATGTGTTCTGTAGCTACTTGATTTTTCCTTATAATACCTTACTATTTCAACCATAGTTTCGTACATTTTTGTTTATAACCGAATTAACAAATGCCCCATTTTCCTTCAATCATATATATGCTGTCTAAGCTTTTATGACCCTAAACGGGCATGGAATTTTCTATGACCATGTGCATATACGTTTAGAATTGTTCCCTTTATTTGTCCTAAATGTTACAATACCTTACTTATCTGTAGTCCAATATTGTTTGTACATTATAAATGGTTTTGATGAGTCCCTAGACGAAAGACGAGTAACCTACTTTGAGTTTTTTTTTATTAATGAATATTGGTTTCTTTGGTTTATTTCGTGTTAGAGATTACATTGTCTATTTGTAAGTTTACGTCATAAAAAAACTTTTATGAAACAATTTCCAGCATTGCAATTATATTCAATTAAATAATCAAACATACAGCCACATATCACTTAAAATGTATGTTAAAATCCCCGTTCACAATATTATCTTTACACCGAACGTGACTGGAATGTGATTCTGGAATTAACAATTTCTTTTCTTTACAATAATCATTTTTGAGAAAATGCAACATAAACACAGCGGAGTGCATATCAGAGTGTCTGATTATTCGTCATCAGCGTAGGTATTTCTCTATTGGTTAGGAATGAAATCATGCCTACGTTCTCTAAGTAATATTTAGAGATAGGTAGTACTGTTAAAGTGATTCAAACGAGTTGTTGTTTTGACAACTCATTAAAAGCTTACAGACAAATTTTTACAATGTATTGAACTTTACTAATTTACATGGTTTAGTCAACCGGTATCCTCTCTTGTACACGAAGTATCCAAAAATTTACACGTATTTCGTTATTATAATTAGCATCATCATCATTATCATCATCATCAATATCATCCTCATCATCATAATTAATGCTACGGCCTATTCTTTGTAGTTTATTGCGTTTGCCATAACGGTTTACCTACCATCTTTATCCTTGCCCTCCATCCATCTCAACCTTGGTTTAATTCTTCATCTAGTTCCCTCGGGATTCGCCAATGATACGTTTTGCAGAGTAGGTTTTATGGAGTTTGGTGTCAGATATTTTGTTTTAATCATTGTATAGCTCAAAATTATATTATTGACGATTCCAAATTCATCTTATCATCTCGTCATCGGAATTATCATCTATTGGACCTAATATATTTCTATGTATTTTTCTCTCGAATATTTATAGTCTATTTTTATCTGTGTTAGAGAGCACCCATACCACAGATCTGTGCATTCTAACTGTAGTTATTTATGTTCTGTATACTATTATGTTTGTCTTTCTTATCATACAGTGGCTGCTAAGTTGTTTGGTAAGTCATCCATAATAATTTCTGGTTGCAAGCGATATTCTTAACCTTATCTCTTGTAAATCTTTTGTTAGTGGTGTTTACCATACTTCGTAGGTATGAGAACTGTTGCACCAGTTTAAAATTATAGCTACAAATATTGTAGTTTCATTTATGTTTCTAATCTGCGGTCTGTTCTTGAGGCCATGAACTTTGTTTGGCTCAATTATTAGACTCATACTATTCACTGCATTGAGAGCACAGCGAACAATTTCTTGGAATTGCGAGTCGTGCGTACGACAAGGTCTAAATTATCTGCATAGGCCAATATCTGGGTAGATATATTAAATCTTATATCCAGGTTGTTCAGTTCTACGTCTTTAATATCTTCCTGTAGGTTTCTCTAAAAGAATGCTAAAAAGGAACTAGTGCTTTCCCTTGTTTAGACTTCTGTTGGTGCTGAATTCTTTTCTTTGTCATCTGTGACATTGTCATCCACCAAACCCTATCAGCTTAACATTGATTTTGAAGGGGTTTGAATAGCTGTATATATTTTGTTTCATATTACTTATTACAAGTTGCTTTTAAATCTAAAAAGAGGTTTTTTTAAGGATTTGTCCTCATATAATTAGCTGGTTTATTGTTAACCCACCACGTCTGAATCCACTTTAATATTCATCCATAATTTCTTCGAGAGAGTTTCTTAGAGAGTAGGGACTCAGCTGTGTGTAAATTATGTTCAAAGTATTTTATATATTGTATTACATTGTATTATATCCAATAACTCATTAAATTTGGAAATCCGTGAAAAGTTTACAAGATCTAACGTGTGGTCTGTACTTTTGTATGGATGTGAAACTTGGATTTTAAACGCTGATATCATGAATAAAATCGAGGCGTTTGAGATGTGGTTGTATCGAAGAATACTAAAAATTCCATGGACTAGCAGAACCAGAAACGAAGAAGTTCTTCGAAGAATGGGCATCAACGAACTCTATTAAATATTATTAAGAGGCGTAAACTAGAATATCTTGGACATATAATCAGAGGACCAAGATATAAGTTCCTTCGGCTAATTCTCAACGGTAAAATCGAAGGAAAGAAATAGATAGGACGGAAGAAACTCTCTTGGTTGAGGAATTTGCGGCAGTGGACAGGTTTGACAGCGGACCAATTGCTACACGTAGCGCAAGACCGAGATCAGTGTAACAATATTATAAGCATGGTAGTCACCGACGTTCCGTAGGGATATGGCACTCTAAGAAGAAGAATTATATCCTTCTTTAGTTGAGACATTCAAGTCAATCGCCTTTTTGTATAATGGACACAGCGAACCGATATTCTATTCTTTAGCTCTTCTTATCCTCTTGCTATAATTTTGTGGTTTTTGTTTGTAAAGTGTATCCATATCTATCCATAGTGTACTGCTCGAGCAATATTATCACCAGTCCAGTGCACAGCAAATCCTTGAAACGTTCCATCCATCTCTTAACGATCCCCCCTTATTAGCTGTTTTACACGTGTTTACTACATTATAAATTAGAACTATTAAATAGTTTGAAATTATCTAAGTACCTAGGACATGTTTTAAAAACAAATATCTATAATGGCGTTCATTTTAGCTACATTTATCTAAGATTTAGTATCTTTTTATTTAC